GGGGGGGGGGACGTTAAATTAGAAAAATGATGCTCTTGGGAAAGTGCGGATGTGGAGAGATTCCATACTGGACAAAAAGCATCATAAACCTCCTCTTCTGGTGCACACCCTTCAAGATGAGAAGAAAAGCTGTTGCAAAGTCCATTGAATTGCTGGTCATGTGGAAGATGTTCACCATCACAGCAGCGATATATTCCCTGACTGCATCCACACACCTCTAGAGGAGAAAATGGGGCCCAAACCAGGTATAAGGTCCTTTGGATTTTAAAAGTACAATTATGTAAGCTTATATATATATATATATATATATGTCTACAGTAAGCAGTACATTAAGCTTGCATTTTTTTTAACATTTACTACTGTGACTAATATTATGATTGCCTAGTGATCAAATGATATATATAATTCTTGTAAGCAACTTCCTTGATCAGAATCAACAATGTCTTTTTTTAGTAAATCATGACGCACAATGTAGTAATCTAACTTTAGTAGATCATTAAAATACAAGAATACTAAACCAGGTAGTCCTTTACGATCATCAGGATTTAAAGGATATAAATCAAATGGCCTGATGGTCAATTTACTAAGTACTTACAACTTTCACAGCTCAGCAGTTAATCTATATTCCTTTCCACATTGCAGACTGTTGAGACTGCTTTCGCCGGAGGCCTTCTTCAAGCCTGGACCATTCAGGAACATCTAAACGAAGGTCCCTAGCCACCTGTGTGATGCTAATTAGTAGGGGTGTGCAGCGGAGCCAGTATCTGTATCTGTAACAATCACTAAATTATTTGTATTGTATCTTTGTATTAAATGTCTTCTAACAGTCGGAGCCATAGACACTAAAAAAAAATGGACAACGCACCTTCACTCTCTTCCATTGAAGAAAAGTGAAGCCGTCAGTGTCCCAATAGGGCGCGGATATATTGTGCTGATTTGCGCTAGTGAGTGAAGTGGAGCCGTGTCCTGCCCACACTCCCGCGGAGTCGATCCCAAGCACATGCACCTGAACCTTTTTTAATTAGCCTGACTGCTCCAATTGTTGTCTGCTGATTGCCGTACAAGAGGCTTGTGCTAAAATAAGGTAAATACAACTCCAATCTCCTCCTGAAGATCCCGAAAAAGTTTTTGGGTGCATCAGTTCGCTCCGAGAAGCTGTCAATCTCAGCTGTCTATCATGACGTCACATGATAAAAACTACATAAAATGACAAAAAACATTTGAAGTGTAATTTTATTATTTATTATTTTGTCCCATTAGATCACACAGAGAGGGCGGGGTTTATGACCTATACTGGGAGCAGCCAGCTGGGATAGCCTTGTATTGGCAATACGAAAGGTCCCCAAGCTGGGACTCGAACTCGCATCGCCCGAAGCACAACCGCACTATGTGCGACGCAAGTTCGAGTCCCAGCTTGGGAACCTTTCGTGATCTGATAAATAAATATTTAAATATCTTCTAATTAAAACAGAAAGAGTTCCTACGGCGTTTGGAAACATAGAAATTGATTTAAGTAATTTCCAGGAAATGCATGGAAAAAGGCAACTGCAATTTTATTTGCACTTATTTCATTCATAGAGTTTACACTCATTTACTTAACCTTCTAAAATTACTACGCAATAACAAGTGTGTAATGTAAAATAACATGCTTTCCTTTGGCTCACCGGTTTCTGCGCAGTTTGGAAAAGTATGGAGAAAAAAAAGAGAATGTAAAGAAAGAAATTTGTTTCGACTACTTGCCCAATGCAGTCTTCTAAAATATAAAATTAAAAATTTTTCTAAAAAAAAATGTATCATACAAGCAGAGAGATTTCATGACAAACGTTTAGTGATCATTTGAACACAACTGAATCTAATTCGAGGCTCACATTTTCATTACGCAGAACTTCACTAAACAAATGTTTGTGTGCCACGCAAACCAGCAGAAGATAAAGAAGCAAACATGTAGGCTTAGTAGAAAATGCAGCCTACATGTAGCTAAGTTGATTATAGCCCACTCCTGACAGAGTGCTGGTTTGGTTTTTGAGAGACGGCAATGCGGCTCATTTCATTCATAAAGTTTACATTCATTCCCTTCACACACTCATTATCGTGTAGTGACTTTAGAGGTGTATGTATAATATTGCGCTGATCCCCTGGCTCACCCGTTATCCAGCAAACACCAGGAGTGACCGTGCCAGCCTCAGCCAAATATTATTCTGCAGAATTATCCTTTATATAGCCATTATCCATGCCTTTCTGAATAAGGTATTGGGCTTCGGGCACAGCCCTGCTAATTGGAGACCTGATGTGAAGGAAGCTGTGACCAGACACTGCTTTTGTGTTAAAAAAAAAACCCCACTGGTCTCTAAATTGTGTGTGTGTTCAGGTTTCAAGTCTCTACCTCTTCATTATGAGGACATGCAGCAGTGCCTGTAAGTGCGAGTTTGAGTGAGAGAATAAAAAAGTGTTTTAATGCATTTTTTCCCTCATAAAATTGGTAATGAAATCCCAATAGCACAATGCAGAATGTTTTGGTCTTTATTAAATCACTACCATCACAGCACTTATAAACTCATGAGCACAGTCCTCATCCTCGGTGTTCTTCTGAGGATTGCAGTTCTGGGGCCTCATTTATAAAATGTGCGCACGCACAGATTTGATCTTAGAGTGTATGTACGCTAAAATCCACAGCAACGTTCATATTTATAAAAACGGTCTTTGACGTGGAAAAGTACTTACCGTCACATCAGGGTCTGAGCAGCCGTACACACTTTTCCTTGTGGCAAAGTCTGAGTACTGCAGCTATTTGATCATAAGCTGCAATAATAATAAAAGCACCGAATTCATCATGAACAACAAAGACGCAGTGTAAGAGATTAATTATGCAGTGTAGTCAGATTTTTTATTATCGGGAGTCTTTGTGAGATTAAACTGACCATTTTTGTAGCCTAATGTTGAGAGTTCTTTACTCGCTTTCTGTAGTTTATTCCAAGTTGTTTTTTACATTTTATTTTACAAGAGAACTTGAAGAGAAGTTCAGTGTGTGTGTGTGTGTGTATATATATATATACAAAAGTGTTGCGTTTATAATTTTGTTCAGTGTGTGTGTGTGTGTATATATATATATATATATAACGTGTAACCACACCAGCCCAGGACCTCCACATCCAGCATCTTCACCTCCAAGATCGTCTGAGACCAGCCACCCGGACAGCTCCTGCAACAATCGGTTTGCATAACCAAAGAATTTCTGCACAAACTGTCAGAAACAGTCTCAGGGAAGCTCATCTGCATGCTCGTTGTCCTCATCGGGGTCTCGACCTGACTGCAGTTCGTCATCGTAACCGACTTGAGTGGGCAAATGCTCACATTCGATGGTGTCTAGCACTTTGGAGTGGTGTTCTCTTCACGGATGAATCCCGGTTTTCACTGTACAGGGCAGATGGCAGACAGCGTGTATGGCGTCGTGTGGGTGAGCGGTTTGCTGATGTCAACGTTGTGGATCGAGTGGCCCATGGTGGCAGTGGGGTTATGTTATGGACAATGATCACAGGTGCATTTTATTGATGGCATTTTGAATGCACAGAGATACCGGGGCTCATTTATAAAATGTTGCGTAAAAACCATCCTAAATTTGTTCTAAGATAATTTCTCAAAAGTGTGATTCAGAGAAAACGAACGTGCGCACAAAAACACGTGTGTGCGCCTCTCTTGCAGATGTGATATTTATAAATCGCAAATGATCTTGAAATTGTGCGTAGCTGACTGGTGCCAGATCTCCGCCTTGTAAACGCCCCCTAATTAATATCATTACCATATAAAAGAGCACACGCCAATATCCAAATTTCTAGGCTTGAGAATGACGAGCACAAAGAAAAAAAAAACTTTACTGAGTCTGAAACTGAGGTCCTGCTGGCGGAGGTAGAGGTTCGTGCGGGACGCTTTTTATTTAACAATGTGTAACTATTCTGTGGACAAACAATGTGTGTGTGGTTATATTTTTTCCTGTTGACAATTATCAAAATTATTACTTCTAGAAACAACAGAAATAATAATAATAATGATAAAACAACTAGGTTTCCAAAAGTAAGAATAGGAATTCAAGTAAAATTTTCAGTCATCTTATAAAAAGTGAGCCATCCTACTTTTAAAATCACTTGCTATGACAACTAATAAAAAGTTTAGTATCACGAAATTCTTGCAAAACTTTAAAAAACATTATTGAAAGAAAAATTGGATGTTTCATATCATAATAAAATTAATTATTCCACGATTATGGTCTCCGGTCTGAAAAAACCTGCATGTGATTTGGCATTTCTTTATATTTACACAGTTTACTAATGCTGCTCAAATGTGCCATTAATGTACTGACACTAAAATATATAGTGTATTTTATACAAATATAACTGATGTAAATGACAAAAACAAAGTTTAAGGCTGATGTCTATTCATTTTCACAGAAGCAAAGCAGCAGATGTTATAAATAAAAACAGTTAACAATGTCATTGAATAGAATATAGGCTATTAAAACCGTTATTGCACGACATAGGCCTATTCTTATAGGCTGCACAGACAAAACAGTCG